GATCGAGTAAGTGAGAATCAGATTGAAGTTTGAGGGAGAGAATCTTACAACAGTTCAAAACTTTGAGGGGAGGGGGGGGAACTGCAAATTTTCCAATTGTGTGAATTGGGTCGATATCACTTAATCAATGACCACCAAAAAAAAAAACCCCATAATTAAAATGTTGTTCGAGAATAGAAACATGAAAAGGAGCAGCAATAAGGTATGCAGTTAAAAGTAGCACGTGATCCTTGATTAAGTATTGACCAACCGTTTGTACTGTTGAATCTAAGCATATGGGATATGTCATGTACTCATGGGTACTGGGTACTGTTATGGTACAGATTCCGCGTCAGATTTGTCTCTACACCTGTACCTTCTGTTTGCCTCAGAGAATTTGATATCCAATATGTAAGTTAATAACCTAATTCTGATCCAAAAAATTAAGCAATTAGATCTTGGACCCTCATTTACATATTAACCGCTCTTTGTCCATCTTTCGGATCAATGTGGGACATGACTCTTTACTCATGAAAATCATTGGACGTTGGTCCAAATCTTGTCCATGCATTAGGTCGATGGTTCAAACTCGGTTTAGTGCATTACAATAAAGTATTATATTTCCTTTGTTAAAAAAAAAATTCATTGAGTACAATGATACGATTGTCTGATTTGATAATTCACACCCAACTCCCGTACAGATCCAGTTGAACTCCCTTTTTCCCGTGATGTAGTTTGTAGCATCGAAATAATGTAGATTATTGTCATTAGACAAAGAAAAAATGAATCTTGGCTAGCGTAAAATGGCTATTATTGGTTTGGACTTGCATCAAAGAACGAGCGAGGACTTGGAATGTGAGGTTAATTAAAATAGAGACTACAAAAAATTAAATTTGAGTCTCAATAATTTTTATAATCTTAAGCAAGTTTAGATTTATAGAATTTTGATAATTTTGAGCACCCTATTTAAAAAGACTACAACCAAGAAGGATTTGAGTAAATAATTGATAGATTACAAACTCAAATACCTGTTAAGTGATCCAAGTAATCAAAGAGAGATTTGAGAGAATTTTAAATCTTTTATCAAAATTCTTAGTAAAAAACGTGGCCCAAAAGTCTTTAATTCTTTTAGTTTTTCACATTTCTATGTTGGTTTATATCTGCCAGTTGGCTTATCAGTATATTGGGTTTTGCTTCCATTATTATCAAGTAAAAGATTAAGGAATTGTTAAATGGCCCCTCATTCAGTTGATGAACTTGACTTGCCCTAATAATCATTTATGAAGTACAATAGACAGCTAGGTGTAAGATACATATCAGATTTCAAAATATTTTTTATGAGATACAACAATTTGCCCCATCTTAGAATGTCTAAATTGACTTACTATTCTAAACATGGGCAGCTGAATTGCAACGTTTTAAAAGTTCAAGGAGGAAACTCAAAAATAAAATAAAATAAAATAAGATGAGGATTACCACATGGCTCGATTCGCAAATATACACACTTTGGAGAGTTGAATTGAAATTAGCCCTGAAATAAGTACATCGTGGCATGTGCTCGGTCGACGGCCAAATGGAGACGGAACCTTGGTCAAAAGGGACCGGTATGAAGCCTAGAAGGTCAAATTCTGGTCAAGTGAAAACTTTAAGGTCCAAAGACTCCAAACCGGAATTCATTATCTCATAACTTTATCCTCGAGTTTCCTAGTGACCTTAGGAGATTTTGGTATGTTTTATTTGTCGCTCAATTTACTATCACTGTTAACTTGACGTCATCATCGACTTAACAAGTTTCTAGATTCATCTTGACGTCATAGATGATCCAAGCAAATAAAATGCTTTTTTTTTTTTTGGCAATTAGAATTAAGTTTACTCAATGTGTCCAACCTATTTTCCAAACCCTCGAGAAAGATAGATTTACTCCACCATGCAATTAATAATATCTTAAAATTTGGTGTAAAAATACCTTTTTATGTACAGCCACCAAAAAGATTTTTACTTTTATTGAACATGGAAGATGCAGGGCATCTAAGATCACTTGTCAATTCTTCTCCACAACCTGTAGTACTTTGGATGCTTTAGCTGAGAGCAATCTTTCAAAGTCGTCAGGAGAGGATCACCAACCAAATTATTTGTTTCCCTGACTTATTCATGTATGTATGTTGATTAAGATACAAAAACGTGAGTTTTTTGGATGTTTGTTTAAAATTTTACTGTAACTTACTATAGAAATTTTTAAAAAAATTTGAAGTGTTTTTTTTAAAAAAATATTTTAAAGCGTATAGTTTAAAAACTTTGAAATTTTTTTTAAGATTACTGTAGTTAAAGTTTTTAAAAAACTTGTAGCAGATAAATTTGGTAAAAAATTTGGCTTCCAAACAAGGCCCTTGCTAATAAATTTATCAATATATTACAAACTTAATAAATCTAGTCTCATTTATATATCTAAAAATTAATCTGGCAAGACATAAAAAGAAAAAAAAAGGATCAGTAACCACAAAAAAGGCCCTAAAAAATTCTTGTTTGGAAAATCAGATTTTACAAAAGAAAATTTTTACATTTTTCCTAAACATATTTTCCAATCATTCTCTTATCTAAACTAGAAAATTGCAATCTAAACAGGATAAAGATTTTGACGCTAAACTAGAGTACCTATAGGTGCAAAGATAGATCCCTATTGATGGAGAGCTCCATTCATGGAACCTTTCAACATGAGAAACAGTCAAGATTCAATGTACCAACGAGGCTGCGATTGCCACTCTTTGGGTTAACTCCACTGCAACTTGGAAAGATAAAGATCAGATTTAGACAGAAAGCAATCACATGGCCCATTATATATTATAGTATTAATATTTAAAAGGATGATAATGATATGATTGATACCCACCTTTTTTAACTAATGGCACCAATTACAAAGAACACGTGATCCTTATGCAAACATTGGCACATTGCGTTCTGAGCAAGATACCTTCTGCTTTTCCTTGGGTTCCCAACAAGATAATCTTTTGCTTAGTAGATCTCATAAAAATAGATAATCTTGTTCTTGCTTCTTTTTATATATATATATATATATATATATATATATATATATATATATATATATATAATTTGGAATTATTCCGTCCGCTCATGACTCATCAACATCTTATTGAAAATTGAATAGAAAACTTTTGTGCCACTCACAAGAATCATGGTTTCGAAGTATGTGAGATAAAAAGATAGTCAGAAAATTTATCGAAAGGATTTTTCTGCAAAAATTTATGTGAAGTTGAATCGGTAACTGATCCATCCATATGGCCATATTGTTGTTCCTATTTCCATCATTTGACACTTTTGGCAGTTCTGAATGAGCAAGGTCACAAAATGTTAAAATCGTCCTATTATACAACAAGTAATAAACTTTTGAGTCTGTACAGAAGCAATAATGGTACCAACCAACAAAACCAAACAAATGGCCAAATAATTTCGTATATTCTATTTGGGTTTGCTGAATGTGAACAGAACATCACTTCCTGGGCTTTCATGTTCAAAGTAAAGGAGAAAGTGAGAGAAAAAAAGATATGTGAACATTAGAAGGTCAAATTCGTCAAACAATTTTCACTGTCCCTTTCTTTTCTTAGCTTGCTGAGTTGTGGAGTACAAGAGTTGGAACGCAATAATTGCTTTTCGTGGCATTATGGTATGGTAATTATCGCCAAACTTAAGGGCAATTGGCAACCCGGAGGTCTTTAAATACCCACTACTTATCCACTTCACTCGTGCATTCCTCAAGCAAAGCAACAAACACACCAAGAAAGAAACTAGAAAACTCTTAGCTCAGCTTACTCAAAGCCAAGAGAAGCTTCTAGCATCAAGAAATCTCCAAGATGGCAGGCGGAGTAAGAAGAGAGATGATCAACGGCAGAAATATTTCAAGGGGGCATGGCGTTTATGGGCGTCAAATACCAAAGAGAGGTCAAGTGAAGGTGGCTATAGTCTTGGGTTTGGCTCATTCTTTATCATCCATCTTCTCTTTTGCTGCTCGTTCTCAATCTTGCCGAAGGACCCCTTTGTGATGATTTCAAGAAAATAGCTTGGCATGGCAACTGAGAGAGATTTGTGTGAGAGAGAGAGAGAGAGGGGAGTAAAGTTTTTGCGGGTTTGTTAAGAGAGTTGTGTGTTATGGATCCGAGAGGAGCATTCATTTGTTTGCTTGTTTGCTCCACTGAATCCGGCCACCTCTTTGTAAATTTTTGAATGTTAATGAATTGTTCTTTCCGATCCTATTCCAATTGGTGCTTTCCCCTTTACTAATATAATTTGAGTTGGGACATCTGAGCTCTAACCAATCAATATACCAACTGCGTGATTCTTCCGAATGTTTGCAATCATCTAAAAATTTTTAGCGGTAGAAGCTGGAAAAATGTCAATTATTCTCCAATTCTGCGGAAAAGAGATCAAAAAGACACCGCACACATGCTCCAAACATAAAGGGCAGGCTGGGCTTTTCAATGTCTCGCCGTTTGTCCCAGCTCAGATGATCCTTGGGGAGATGGGAATAGTTGAAGTCAATGGTCAAATTTGGCAGATGATTATAACTGACTTCTAGCAATTTGTCAATTGAAACGTGCACTGGTCAATCTCGAAGTAGACTATGACCGTCCAGTGTGGCTGCTAAGGGTAACTGCCATTGTAAGGCTAAATTTAATTTTGGATGGAATCGAATTGGCGAAGTGCATAGGAGAAAATTGGTTGTGAAACCGGAGACTTGTGTAAATTGTGAAAGGATTAGACACATACTACTAGGAACGAATCAAACACAGGAGAAAATCATCTATGTTGGATGTAGTTTTTGTTTATAGGTTTTTTGATGAGAAGGGGAGTGGTTATTACTTAGTAGTAATGGCTGGTACGTCTGGAGTCGTATTGGAGCTTCAACAAAATATTCCATGATGTACCTAAAATCCCACCAAAAAAAAAAGAAAAAAAGAAGAAGAAGAAAGAAACAGAAAGACGAGGGTGCAAATTGTTAAATATTTGGGTGCTTGATACCGTAAATTTAACCATTTCCAACCCACATCTCAAAATTTTCCGCCCTGATTGGCTGCTTTAACATGATATAACTATGGTAAATAATTGATAGTAGTAGTCTAAAGTTAGCTAAAACTTAAAAGGTGCCTGCGGTTAAAAAAAATAAATTACCTGACTACTATTTCGACATAAAATGATTTTACTAGGTTCATCCTATTCTTGAATTGTCTCTGCCAAAGACTAATGTGGTAGCCCAGTTCACAGCCACGTAAAACCTGTTCCTCCAACTCACCACACGAGTGAGATAAGCCGAGCGCCACATTAGCCAGCTCAAAAAGCCTGCCATGGATATGCCCTTCTCATCCTGTCATATTGAGTATGGATCAACACCGAATCAAGTTAGTCATGATTCGTTAAATGCAAAGCATTATTAAGTTGAGACGGGGAATTGAGACAAAAAAAAAAAAAAACCAATCTTTTGTCATTTGGGAATTGAGACGGGGATGCTTGGCGGAAAATACACAAACATCATCTAATAGATAATGCCAAGGTGACTGCAGATGTAATTCGAGGCAAGACAACTTTATTAGACAGCAAATATGTGAAGATTGCAGAAAGTGATATGCACAAAAAGATAACAAAAAAAAGGAAAATAAAAAAAGAAAGGAGAGGGTTGCCCTGTTATCCTGATTGTGACAATGCAGCCACCACAAGTTATCCCTGGAGTCGGCTACAGAGCTTCGGACATGTGATACACAAAGAAATGCAAGAAAAGAGAGGGTTGTACTTCAAAGCAAAATGGTGGACTAGTTTCTCCATTGAGAGGGTTGTACTTCAAAGCAAAAGACATTTAAATCCTTTTAACTCCTCATTTCCAGAAAGAAGGCTAGCACCTAGTAACTTCTTTGATAAATTATTGCAGGGACCAACTAATTGATCTGTTTTTGCACATGTGTGATTGATAAAGTTGGATAAATTAATAAAGATTCTAGATGGTGTGCATGCTCTGTGAGTATGAAGATTGCTTCTTTCAAATGAATTTAAGAAAGTGAAGCTCTAACAATGATCAGTACCTTGGACTGGCGAAGATCAACCAATGCCTTGTACCGACCTACAGATGCCATGCTTCCAAGATGCTTGTAGACAAAGGGCTCCCCCAAAGGAATGTCTTTCATGGATAGTGCCTTGCCACCATTTTTTGTGCCGATTTTACTGAACAACTCAACTAGATACTTCCCTTGCCTTTCTGCTACCTAATTAAGGCATTTTACAAGTGAAAGAACTTGAGACTTCTTCACATTCTGAAAATATCTCTAGTACAAACAGCTACAGACACCAATCCGTAATCAGGTGGAAACACGCTGTCAATATCATGCAGCCGATTGTAAAACTTCATAACATTTTGAAAATACACGACGTATGCACATGGTAGAAGTTTTACTGGGAAAGGGATGTAGTATCATATACATTACGCTGGACCAAGCAAGTGATGGAAATTTGAACGCATGTACCCAAACTTGGATACTAATTCCAATCTTGCCTAGTTTGACTCGTCAATCGTACGTTGCTAGCAAATCAAATGTCGCTCCTAAACAATGAAAAAGAAGCCATTTCTTCGTCTCTTCCTGCTTTGAAGCAAAACAAACTCTAGTCCTTAAATTTGAATTCCCCCCCTTATTGCTGAAGTTCTAAGATTTAAGCAGGAGTATACTGTGCATTATGCACAGAATGGACTTCAATGGACTCATGTTTCAAACTATTAGATCATCATCATTACTAACATTACTACAGTTATTGCCAGCATATGCAGACTACTATTCTGACCATATTCGAAAGTACAGCCTCAACCTGTTCTTAATGTTTGTAGCATTTAGTTGGTCAAACATCATACCACATCTCCACTTAGTCCATCATAATTAACTGATCTCAGAAAATCTACTGAAAGATAAGATTTCCACCTTGGAGCTAAGTTGTTGCCATGACAATAATCAAGCTCAATGTTGTACGTAGTAGAGAAGAAAAAGGGGAGCATCTAAGTACCATTCAGAGCTGAAGGGTTAAAGGACAAGAAGCAAAAAAATAAATAACCAAAAAAGGTAAAGTGAAAGCAGTTGCAGACAGAAATTAATCACTACTACTACCAAGAACAAGCAATAGGTTTACGTGCTGAACCTGCGCTAGTGCTGGAAGTACTTGCCTCCCTGTTTGTTCAAGGAAACCAGCACAATCTCCAAGTGCAAACACATCATCAACAGAAGGAACTTGCAGCCATTCATCAATACCAATTCTGCAAGTGCAAGAGGTTATATCATAAGGTCCATCATTACTCGAGCAAAAGAATGAAGGACCAAAAAGTTGATGCAGTAAACATGCTGAAATTGTACCTTCCACCCTGAGACTTGGGCAGATCTAGTGACTTTACAAACTCAGACGGACCAACTCCTGTAGACCAGACAAGGAGACCATATGGAACATCACTTCCGTCACTGAGGACTATTTTCTTAGGGTACACCTCTCTTACAACACCTCTTACAAGGCGAACACCACACTGTTCAAATTTTGGAAGTTGTCAATATTACGAAGCCACCAAAAAAGCCGATATCTTTCTGGAGAAGGAAACAAAAGCTACCTTGGTCAAGTGCTTTGTGGCATACTGTCGTAATCCAACATCAAATGATGACAAGATCTCATTCGCCTGTATAGAAAGAAATGACAAAGTTTGTAGTTCATGCTGAGGCCATCCACTGACATCTAGTTTATTCAGACTGCCAGAGAAATTTATACCTCAATGAGAGTAACACGAATGTAGTTTTTCACATGAGCATATCGTTGGCGTACATCTCTCATTATAAAATCACTCAATTCACCACTAAACTCCACCCCAGTAGGACCTCCCCCAATAACAACGCAATGTAAGAGGCGCTCCTTTTCTTCTTCTGTAATGCCTGTGAGCATGCATGAGGGTGGTGAGTAATTTCTATCCTCATGGTGAGATCATATCCAGGGTATTAATATACAACAACCCTTAGGTCATAGATCATATAACTTATGCCTACACAACTAAGATCATGTACAATTTCTTTTCTTCATTAACTGTGTAATCAGTCTGTTTAAGCTGCTCACGAGCAACTACCGTGAAGATCTACAGTAATCAGCCAAAGAATGAGAAAATCAACCCTGAAACTCAAAACTTGTCATCCATGCACTTCATTAAGCATAAGAATTATGATATATTAGCGCCCCCCCCCCCCTCTTCTTTTCTCTTTCTCTCTCTCTGTTTTTTTTTTTTTTGGCTGCTAAGCTTAAAAGACAAACTTTGTAGTGCATTTCAATTACTCAGGACTAATCATAAGACCAAAGTTCATGTGGATATTACACTAAAAATGCGCCTCTATACTTTGAATTGATGTCATGTAAAAAGCTAGTCCCCTGTCCTTTACTATTACAAATAGTTTCAAACCACAAGTTTTTGAAAATGATGAAAGGCACTGGAAATGCTGGTTATCGGACGCCTAATAACTATATTCTATATTAAGCCAGAAGACTTGAAAAGAACAAAATGGACCAAATACCAGAAACGTCAAGCTATCTGTACTTTTCACTTCCCATGATCAATAAAATATAAATTTGGCATCCATATATGGGTGTCATCTTAACTTTGTTTTCCTCTCGTAGGAGAGCGGTGAAGGGAATAATCACCTGGGTTTTGAGAGAGCATGAGGTTCAATAGAAGTTTCTTCCTTATTTCTTGTGCATGATTCACTTCTCGAAGAAAAAAAGCATGTTCCTTAACTCCCTTAATGCCAAAGGTTAAGGGCTCAGCTCCAGAAGCAATGACAAGTTTGTCATATGCTACTTTAAACTGGTAGGGCTCGTGATGCAGTGCACCATTTTCAACAGACTGACAATACACCTGATAGACAAATCAACATAAACACATTAAGAAGGTTTCTCCATTTAGTAATTCAATAGCGTCGAAATGAAAATACAGAGTGTATACGCAGGTAGTTCAAAATACAATGCCATTCTGATCCTCTTATTAGCGTTTTGTGAAGAAACTTCTTCTGGTCTCAGAACAGATTATCAGTTCTTGTTTGCAAATTGTAAAGTGAGGGTTTGATTCCTCCCAAGCAACATGTGAGTGCAAAAGTATTCCTGTATTTGCTTGCCATATTGATACTTTATCGGGTCGCTTTGGTGATATAGTATTCTATACCAGACTGAAATGTTCATAAAAAAGAAAGGAGCAATGCAGTGCAGGAAAATTAATTTACCTCATGCTTTTCTGTGTCAATGCCAGTACAGGAAGCCAGGAAGAAATAAGAATTAGGATCCTTTGCTAGTGCTTTCTGAATCTGACTGACAGGCTCAGCAACTGAACGGAATTCCAGAGTACCAACACAGGTTGATGCAAGTAAAGGAGTGAAAACCATGTGATTCCTCGGTGATATGCAAACAACATCATATATCTTGGTATCAAGCCCCTTAAGGAATCTACACGCTGCCCAGCCAGAGCCAAGAACAACCACTCTAGGTTTTTCGCCCGGCTTTGTGGCTTCCAGAGTGGGATACCTGGTGCTTTCATACTCTGAATCATACCCTTCCATGACACTTTGTGCATGAGCGAAATGATATTGAGGGGTCATCCTCATTCCTCTGATCCACATACAAGAGTAATCTACCTTTTCGATGTTTGAGAGGTACGAGAAATTGCTTCCTCCTCTGACATTTCGCATGTAAGTTGAAGGGCTCTCTTGCACTGATCCCCTCTCAAATGGTACAGTCCTCTCATCGGCATAACTGCAAATGGCACTTCCAGATCGTCTCAACCCACTCCTTGAAAACCTTGCTAGTGCCATTTCAGAGTACCAGTCAAAGGAGCTGATACCCCTTGGGTTCCTCTGGCACTAAAAGCAAATTAAGCAGCAATTATCGCCCTCAAATTTCAAATTAAGTCAATGATCCCACAAGGCAATCGTTTATAGTAATAGCAAGCACATAGTCAGTTCCTTTCAAACGGAAGAACAGTACGGGCCAAGCATTAAGGCATTTGGAGTTCCAGAAAAATGGGCAAGTCTAGATGATTAAAGCGAGACCATGTTGGTTTCTAAGGCCAAGATGACCAAAATACAAAATTCGCCAGAGAGTTTTTAATTGGTTGACGGCAGATTCAAAGAAAAATATACTTCGTAATATGCTATAGAAGGGAACAGATCTGAAACGGCTGTAATTGCTCCTATATTACCAAGAGTACGTAATATTTATTTCTAGCTGATTGATAGTGAAATCTCAGTCTGATTCGCATACTTAATATCTACCCCTGTAGCTGTGCCAGTGTGCCTTACGAAGAAAGTAAGAAGAAAGTGCAGTTTCTTTACCTGAAATCGACTTGAAACTTAAGCCGAATATCGTTGATGCTAGTATTTACCTCTACCTGGTAAATGATTATTAGCTGCGAAGAAAATCACGCCAAAAATAAAAAAGAAAAAAGTTAGAATCGTCCATGTGACCGTTCAATTATGAATTAGGCACCAAATCGAATTTCACAATGCAACGGCGAATTTCATGATCAGCTAAAACCTCTCTTAAACCACGAAATACGGTTCGATACTCAGAAAATGCTGCACCAAAATTCTGTAAGTAGGATTATGACGAACATAACTTGAATCAAGAAAAATAGAACAACAAAAGCAATCTGCGTAAGACATGCATTTCTTTAAAATCGCTCTAAAAACTTACTCCAAAATCCCGAAAATCAAAAATTCAGGAAGAAAGAAAGAAATTGCAACGGCACATAATCGTATATATACAAGAACAATGATACACGCGATATACGTAGGATTATACGCATGTGTGTTGTGTGGTTACACTTTCGCAGTGACGCACATTACCGATAGTTGAAGCAGCGTTTGAAGAAGAATGGTGGCGGCGGCGGCAGCAAGGCTGAGGCAAGTCACTTGGTACACGATCTCAGGAGCGGCAACGTTTCAGACTGAAAATGAAAAAGGTTGCTTGATATTTTATTGCAATGGTTTTTAAATATTATTATATTGCAGATTTTGAGCCTTGAGGAACAAGAAAAGAAAGTTTTGGTTTCTCCCTCTCTCACTCTGCTAAATTAAAAATTGTCAGCCTGCACGAAATTTCAGACTGAAATCAGACGAGTAGAAAACGTGGCATGTGTTTAAATACTGGTTGAGGAGCGGTGGTAAATATGGTAGCAATGAGGTTTCATCTTCATAAGGTGGCGGTGGAAAGGGAAAGAGGAAGCTGAGTTGCCATTTCCGCGAGTTTTGGAGGTTTAAAACGACGTCATAGCTCTTGTACTTTACTATTCCTTTTGAAAAAAAAAACCACGAGGCTTGCCTTTGGTCTTTTGAGTTTTGACCGTTGACTCAGTCTGTGGCATAAATAGTACCTCGTCAGGCGGGCTTGAGGGTTTCGAGTGTATTTTTACTCGAGTAAAAATGTTTGAATTTGTACTCGACTTCTTTAGAGTTGAGTTCGAACTTGAGCTCGATTAAATGAAGTTCAACGAGACTAATCAAGTTCTCAAGTGTGATTTTTTTGGGTAAATTTTACAACTCTACAATAAATAATTAAAATTTATATTATTATAAATATGCTACTTGATAATAAGACTTGAGGAGTACTCGAGTTTTGGTTTAATCAACTTGAACTCGACTCGATTATGTTGTCAAATAGTTCGAAATGAATTCCAATCAAATCTTTGACCGGTGAATTCGCTGAATCGAGTAATTTGATTAATGTACACCTCTAATTCCACTTGCATAGTACGAAATCTCTCTGTTATTTTTTATAAAAACACTTTTGACCACTCTAATTGAGGTTCAAAATTATGTTTCCTCATAGGTGTTCAGGGTCTTGGTGTCAGCAAAGAGGAATTACTGGTCAAGATTGGATTTTACCATCCCCAGAATATTCTCAGAATCTTTTTGTGCTTAAATTTTTCTATAGTGTGTTTATTGTAACTTGCAAGGAGAGAATAGGGCCAGTTGCGAGATTTTCTTGACTACTAGCACTAATGAAAGAAGACCAGTAGAAAACGTGATGACAGCTCAAAAGTATTCCGTCTTTGGTATTACAAAAATGAGCAATTTGAATGAGCGGAAAATCTTTGGTTCAATACCAGCAAAGTCTCAACGTGTCAAAATGAAATACTCGGTAGGAAAAACGTTTCGACGGGCCCTCCCTTAGTTGAATATCACGTTTGGTCTTGGTCCCAGTCCCAGACATCTAGGAGGAAATCCCGTCTTTTGTGATTCCATTCTCTTTCTAATAAGTTTGTTAGGATGGTGATTTAATCACTGACGATTGGGAGCAATTGCTTGCAGCCTCCGCTAGGATCTCGTTCAACCAACACGGTAATAAACAGGTGTACTTTATATGTGACGCCACTAATACCAAGAGTTTAACCTTTTTATTTACTAATTATTAATTTTCTGCTTAATCAAAATCGACACTATAACAAAACTCTTTATTATGTACCGGAGAATTGACACGACGAGCCAAAGAACGCGGAAAAAGGAGTGGAATGTTATGTTGAACAATTCCAGTCTCCGACCGTTTTGATTTTTGTATTTTTTGGCTATTGCATGAAACGTTTCACCAACTTCACCATAAAACTTGTACAAATTGAGACCCCTATTGGCAATTAGATATTGTTCATAAATTCATTACACTCTTGCACACACACATATATATATATATATATATATATATATTAACATGTGCTTATTAGGTTCCCGTCGCTGGAGTACTTGTTTTCTTGTCTGAAATCTTAGTCATAACATCACATTGGTCTTTTCTCGAGCTTCTAAAATTGGGTCCAAACAAATTGATCTCTGAAGACATATCTCATTTTATATACTGTTTGGGCTAATGGATGACCTTCGGCAACATCTAATGACCCAAACTGTCACCAATGTTAGGAAAAAGTCTATTCCTACATGAATTTAATCTGTGAAGAATTTCCAAAGTGGCAGATACCCAACTTCAAGGCAGTTCTGAATTAAAAATAAAATTTCTTTTCTTTTCTTCAACTACATGATTCAGTAAGATTGTGAATTTAATCAGACTGCTGATCGTTTTCATCTGAAGGTTAAAGGGATTAGGGGAATTTGCAACCCCTTTTGCCAATGGTGAAAAAACAGATTTTTCTTCTAATTAATCATTATTGTTTGTCCAAAATGTATTTGGTTGTTTGTCAGAAGTGCTTAAGCATCCTTTTTATCTTCCAATTAGACTTGTCAAACTAGTAGCAGGGCGTAAAAGAATGTAGAAGGAGAATCAATATATGGTGTCAACTGCATCTTTCTTTTATTGTGGGATTGATTGTTTTTTATTTTTAGATGTACGTAGGAGAATGATAAACAAGGAATTTCAAAATATGGACAAAATTCTTCCGAGACGTTTGTCCTTCATACAAGGTTTGTTTAATGAGTTTTACCTCTCCGTGTGATTGATGAGTTATTACACGGGACGGAATTTACTGTGTGCGTACTCTCATGTAGCGGCTGCGGTTCCTTGTCAACAGAAAAAAAAAAAAATCTGGACAAAAGAATAGGTAAAGACTTGAAGGTACGGATTTCATGGTGATGGCTTCTAATAGTTAATTAGTTTCTTGATTTTGTCTTATACTAGTTACAGAAAAATGGCGAAGTGTTTATGCTTTGTTCATAGTCACATGAAAAGCTTTCTTTAAATTTGGAAGTTAGGTTATAAGTTTGTTTGATAAGAAACTGTGTAGATTAGGCAAGAAAAATCGCATATCAGGTGGCATTTCTAGATGCCATAGACGGGAAAATGTCCAAGAAATTAGAAATTTTCAACATAGCCTCTGTTTAATAATTTAATTCAGCATTTAAATTAGATGGATTCAAATTTTAATAGCTTCAGACATATTTGATAACAACAAATTGAACATGTAAATTCATTAAGTTGCATAGAATTTTTTAGACAAAATTTATTTCCTAGAATAAGTGATAAACTATTTACTTAACACTTAAATGTATCAAAATTAGTATTTAACAATTCAATAACTTAACGGATTCAAACTTCAGATTTCAGATTTCAAAATTCAGTTTTTATCAAATGCATCCAAAGTAAATGTTTATCTCAATTTTGAATAGGAATCCATGAGATCAAATGAAAAGAGGATAAAAGGAGACAAAAGGAGATTTGAAAATTTTCGACATAGTAAATGTTCATCTCAATTTTGAAAAAGAACTTTATTCTGTAAAGTATCTTCCAAGATTACATCTAGCTTTTCATAATTTAAGGTCATGAACGAATTGTTGTTCATTGCCGATGCTTTCAGACAACGTTATTGTTTGTCCTATCTAAATTTCGCCAGTTATAAGCAAGCATAAGTATTAAATGATCAGTTTCATATTCCGATGACTACGGATTCTACGAAGGCAGGCTGTGCAGATGCATCTTTGGTTAAATTAAATCTAGCAGTTGGTTCAAAATGGAACCAACACAATCAAGTTGCTGCAAGGAAATCATCTTGAGAACGGCCAAAAGCTCGATTGAGGAACATGGCCAATCGAACTCCACCCTGAGCTATCCGTTTCATCACCAGAGGCAGTCTGGAGTTGAAGTAATCGTCTGTAATCAAAGAATCCAAAGCATTATTCTTTTGGCTTAACAAGCAATAACAACAGATGAAATGGAACTTAAGTTTTGGATTATTGGAGGATCAAATTATTTGTAATACCAGAGAGAGTCTCTCCAGCCTCAACTCCCTTGTAACCCCATTTGCAAGCAATATTGATACTTTCTGCTGCATACCTGTGTTTATAAGGAAAAACATCCGTCAACAATTAAAGCCTACGTCTAAATTTTGGCACCAGAGAATAGAAGCAGAGTGCCTTCTTCTCACTGGATCAATTTCTTGGCTTGCCTAAAAGAGATTCAGGGAGAAAGCTCACTTGGTTACACAGGTATGGAGATCACTGCAGTCCCTCCAGGAGTCAAGATCGTCAGACCAGATTCCCTGTTCCATGAAGCAATCTACAAATTTAGTTAATGGAAAAAGTGGCCCTAAAGACTATGAATGTAACAGGCAAGAAAAGCCATGCTCAATATGTTAACCAAGCACCCAAATTATGTGTTACAAGTAGGATACAATCCAGTTTATCTAGATACTTACATCTGTAAAGTTACTTTCTATGTCTTGCTCAAGGAGGTCGATTTCCTTCCCGTAGTAATCTGCAGCAGCCGTAAGAATAATCTCTCTGTCCCAGACCTATATGCATAGATGTGAATAATACGTGACAGTTATCTCCCAAATTTGTGATTTCATGACAGGTTAGATCGATGTCAATACTCACATGGTGCAGATTGGATTTGTGCCTAAACCAGCGCAAATTTATGGTGTTTCCTCCTTCATCACTTGTAAAGCCTACATGCATTGGCTGAGAGAGAAATGAAACAGAAGCAATAAATTGCATTAGAAATTCACAACTATCAAATACAGTGGCAACATGAACACTAAACTAATTGAACAAGAGAGAGAGAAATTTTTCGATCAGACGCCGTACCTGATGTATATCTCCCATAAAGTGTGAAAGAAACAACAAGGCCTCTGTCATATTATCTGTGATCATTGAAAGACAAATATTCAGAGTGTGCAGGTAATAGCATCCCACAAGGGGTAGAATTGCTTAAGATTTGGCTTGGAATCTTACGTCGTCGATCAGAAGATCCATGGCGGTAATGTGAAAGCTGAGTAGTGAAATTCTGGATGGCACCAGCAACACACATATCCTCAACTCCATGTTGATCATGACAGTCCCCTTTCAGGCCAAATCATGGTTACAATGTAAGTGACGTTATTTTGGTCATTCAATTTCAAGAAGTACCATAAAATTATGCTTACTTTCATAATCAAAGTTGCAGGCATTATCAGGGGTGTCAATGAAGTGAAGTGGGCTCGTCCACCTATACTTGTGCCAGTGCCTTACCTGATCTGGCCATACACACAGGGCTGACAAGTCCCCGTTAACATAGTCGGGCAACAACATTTTGACCGCATGGGCTGCATCAGGTTCCAGGAGATCCTGTTCTCAGAGGAGATAAATGTTAAAATCGAAATTATTTTCACTGTGTTCATCTAATTATTTCTCGTATAATACGATTAACCAATGAAAATAAATGACCCTACACATAATTTCTACTCAGAACTTCTTAGTTCATCTGCTTTCCATGTAAAGG